CTAATTTTTAAACGGTATGATGTAACTTATAAGTTATATCTTTTCCACATCATTCAGTTTGGATTTGTCGCAGTTCGCCAATAGACGGCGAATGTCCATGTCTATGAGACATTCACTAATCGGCCAATCGGCGAATGTTGAGGGAAAATTCGCCAATTATGGTGAATGTCTATTGAAGAATGTCTGTTGGAGAAAGCTGAATTGACGAAACGCGACTTTACCGCTGATAAAATGTTAAATGTCACGTAGTGTGATTTATGTAGTAGAATGAAAGGAGCAAAAAATGAGATAAAGCAATTGAAGTATCAAATTTCACCTTGATTTAGTTACTGACGAAGTGTATCAGCGCTTTTTCCTCGAAACATACATGACTATATGTAATCGACGATGCTGATTCCGAATATGACTATTCAAAATAGTCATATGGAATACAACCAAATGAAATAGATCAAATCAGAGTATTATCAGATGGCTCCGATTGAATCTGAATCGATTTAGAGCTCAGAGAAATTTCGTGCTATTCAAGTAGCCGCAAATGTCGTGTGGACATTCGCCAGTCGCCAATATGGCGAATGTCTATTGGCAAAAGTTGAATTGACGAAACGCGACTTTACCTTTAGTTTATAGTGGGTTTTGTATATATTCTCAATTTAAAAGTAGATCACTAAAACGTTATTTAGCAGCGTTTAGAATTGTAAAAGCTGTTACCTGCGATTCAGCTCTGTAGGGTTCATCGAAAAACCGAATTAGATCAACGTTTTGCCAGGTCCTCTAGAGAAATTTGAAATCTTGTAATATCATGAATATATATGATAAGAAAATAGAATATTATTTTACGTGTCATCTAAAGGATTACAATTTTGTGAAAAATTCGTTGTAGTTATATAATTTTCTCTTCTTTTTTTTCTACTATTACAAAAAAGGTCTTGATGTAACATTACCAGAACCATTACCATTAGATCATAAATTATTAAAATTAAAAAATTGTGTTATATTACCACATATTGGTAGTGCAGAAACAAATTGTGGAAAGAAAATGGTTGAAATTAGTATTCATAATTTAATAGAATATTTTGATAATAAATCAATGATTAATCAAATTAATGTCAATTAAATATTATTGTTACAGTTTAATATACTATGTTTTAATATTATTTTTGTATTTGAAAACATATTTAGAGGCATTTTAATAATAAAAAAACAAGAAAAAATAAATATTTAGTTCTATAATAAGATGTAAGAGAAATCGCATGATCAATGATCTTGACCTGTTATAGCTATTCATATATTAGTTAACCTTGTAAAAAAGTAAAATTTCTAAATTCTCTATTGTTAAAGTTTAATATACTATATTTTCATATTATTGTTGTAGTCATGTCTAATTATTGCTAGAAGTAGAGTAATTCGAGTTTTAGCTCAAATGTATTGCTAGTCGGCATTAGTCCACTTATGACTACTGAGAGAATAATGTGAGAAGTCGAGATGCAAACGTGACGATGTGTGTATTGATTGTACTCACAAGTGCTCCATATAGATCTATCTGGATCTCTATTACCCCTGTGAAGGCGACATTAGAAACCTGTAGGCTACGGCTTTTTGACAGCCTATAACCTAATCTATACAAATTTTCACAACCGAAACCTAACCTAATTTCACCTAGTAATGTGACTAAGAATTTTCCAAGTGGCCATATTTTTTAGACTGTAGAAAATATATAGTTTTGCGGCCCTTGAAAAGGGCCATCGAATGGGAAGTACCAGACGTTTGGTTACTTCCATTTTTAAGATAACATATTCGTTAAAAAATAAAAGTAGATGATAAATGTGGCACCGATATCACTAGTGTCTACCAGTATATCAAGTTTATGCCCTACTGAATCAGACAATCAACTGACGATTCACATATAAGATTGAAGCCATACCTAAGAGCTATCGGATACTTAACTTTAGAACTACTTTTTCTTATCTATTTGCTTCAAAACTGAACCCACTCCTAAACGCTCGATTATTGGATTAAGGACCAAAAAATGAGCAACTTTATGAACACTTTTTTGAACTAAAAATCCTATGAAATTAGCATCAAAAAATCTCAACATGTTCTTTCAAGTAATGTATGATTTCAAGGGATTAGTCAACTAAAATACTAGTAGGCCGGCCGATTTGGTCTCTTATGCGCCCCCGTCTTTTTGACGTAAAGACAGAGAAACATACCGAAAATCAGTCCCAGTGGGAGTATGTGTACCAAAAATAAGAATTTACGTTTCATTATAGCTGTATCGCATATGAAAAAAGATTCTATACGTTCCGTTGTAGATGCACGGCATTCCGAAATAGAGTTTATAAATCTTCTTGCACATGAATCGGGGCTCGCACATGACCCGAAGCTCACACTTGATCCACCGGATGCTGATGTCGGGTCTGCTGGAGGACCGCTTTGAAGCATCACTATACGTATGAGACGAAATACATTCCGATCTAATGGTGGCGTAGGACTATAATGAAGATTCATCGGATAATATTGGTGCATACACCTCACCAAGGCTAAATTGTATAAGCAATGGTATTGAACTATATACTTGTTGTTCATGTATCAGTAAATCAAATGCGTTGATCAATTATT